GATATGAATCACTGCAGACAGATTTCAACAATATTGTTTAAATTCTTGGACTGGGTTACTGCAGTAAATAATGAATAGGTCAATATAGCCATTGTCTGTCACCTATTGAAGGGGTTATTATGTCATGTTATTGCAGCCTGAAATATAAATATGCTTTTATCTTTTCTTTAGCTGCAAAAGAAATGAATGAAAAATAAATATCTGGTGAAAGTGACTGTGTTGCAAAAATTTGCAGAAAAGCAGGCTCACCTAACATGTTTTTGCACTTAGGTAATCTGCAGGGGGAAGTTGTAAACAAATCTGTTTCCAGAGTAATGATGTAATGAGATGCTATTGGCAACCAGGCTCAGCTGGGGGGGACATGGCCAGGATCAGGCCTATCACAGGTCTGCAGGTCAGATACAAATCTGTGAACCAACCAATCATGCTTTAACCACACGGTTTACAAAGTGCTTTGCAGACATTTTAAAAGAAACAAACTAAAATACAGTAAGCATAACAATAAGCACAGATAAAAATTGAATCAAAATTTTAAAATAAATAACAACAACAACAAAAATGAGGGACTTTAACCACCCATGTTCTCGGTAGGGGACTTCAGACCAACCACTCAGGTCCTCATGCAAGGGGAAACAAACCCCCACCGCACTGGGACCCAAACTCAGTGTCCTCTGGAGGACTCAAGCCCTAGAGTATTCAGGGGCACGGTTGACGTCAAGTGGAGTCCAGACCTGCTGATTTCCTGATCCCTGATAGAGTGCGCACAAATGTGTCTGTGTTGGAGAAGGAGCATGTTCCTTGAATCTTGCTTCTATAAGAGTAGATCATGTTCATCCCAATACTATCAGAGCGACTAACTTGAAGGTCCTTTAGTAGTGTAATACACACAATTGTGCAGTAGGTGGTGCTAACAACCTATTTCAAACATCACACTGTAAAGTAAGGCATGTGTTTTCAGGTGCAGTAGGCTTTATTAACTGCATTATTCATGATTGATCACACAGTACCTCTAATATGACCCATCCGACCTGACAGAGGGGCACCTCAGCCACTGCTGTCTTGGCAGTGGTGATTCTAGACCATTTCAACTAGGGGGGCAGACTGAGGCCAATTGTTCTGTTGGGGGGGGGACAATTTTGAAAACAAATAAGTTATTTATGCAGTGCTTTGAAGTCACATTTTACAGTTTTGACAAATATGTAACTCTGATATCTTGTTCAGACAAGCTTGATTATTTTTTTCAGTCGTTAACTTTGCTTTTCACCAACTAAAGCGACTCGATCACCCGGCACACCTGTGCTTGCGTTTGTGTTTCGCTCGTTCCCAGAGCACATTTCCTTAGCCCACACATATAGAAGTGCATAATAATAGTAGTAATAATAATAATACTTTTATTTCAGACCCAAATAGCATATCTATGTAGGGAGGCCAGGGGGTGGGACATGCATGTTGTAACAGTGGCACTGCTCCCCCCCGCCCAGAACTGTCCCTGCTTCCGAGATTCAGGAGTGAAGCGACATCAGGCATAATGTCAGGATAGGGGCTGTGCAGTGACACCAGGCAGGATACTGTAACTGGGAGGTAGGCTGCAGGGGGTGGGGGCCCAGCTGGGGATGGCAGGTGCTCGTGTGTTGGGTGGAAATGACAAATCGTGGGCCATCAGCTGCCATGATGAGGGTTAGTACTCCTGTCATAGCAACAGGAAGTTCCGCCCACACAACCCTCCGATTGGCTGGAGGCTGCTAAGTGTGTAATCCGATGGGCCGGCTGGCACCTCCTCCTTTAACAGCATCTCCAGTCACTCCACAGAGCTCCTGCACATCATCTGTGCCTCTTTCACTCAGCCCCACTATACTGGGGTCTAGGACCCAATTCCAAACCATACCCTTGACACTCCACCTTCACTTAAACTGAAGGAAATTTTAGCAA